TCAGCTGTCACGGGCTGCTTCCTGGGGGTGGAGGCCTGGTCGAGGACCGGGCCGCGGGGACACTAAAAAGCCCTGAAATCATCTCAAGATAACCTTACCTAACCTAACCTAACCGAGGATCCGCGAATAGAAAACGAAACAGTTCGTCAAATCGAGACGCAATATGATCTTAGTACACTATATTCTGGCCGCCATAATGTGATGTATATTCGACAGGACAGTTTGTGTTAAATACTACTACTACTACTACTAATAATAATAATAATAGGATTAGTTGGCAGGAATTACATGGCATCTTTTGCTCCTGAACATTGCAACAACGCCTGCAACAAATCACCTAGCTGCAGCAACCTTCACAAGGTAACTCAGGAGTACATCAGTAACTTCAGAAACAATTTGTTAATATTTCTTTCTAAGAAGAGCTGCTAAGGCGTGTTTTCAAAGCTGGACTTTATCCTTGAGGCACTTGATCCTGGGATAATTTGGTGGCAGATATTGACCAGTTGTCAGCCTCCACCACATCACTTCCTAGTGCATTCCATTTACTAACTACTCTGACACTGAAAAAGTTCTTTCTAATGTCTCTGTGGTTCATTTGGGTACTCAGCTTCCACCTGTGTCCCCATGTGCGTGTGTCATCCGTGTTAAATAATCCACCCTTGTCCACCCTGTCAATTCCTCTGAAAATTTTGTATGTGGTGATCATATCCCCTAGCTCTTCGGTCTTCCAGCGACGTGAGGTGCAGTTCCCGTAGTCTGTCCTCATAATTCATGCCTCTTAGTTCTGGGACTAGCCTAGTGGCATACCTCTGAACTTTTTCCAGCTTCGTCTTGTGCTTGACTAGATACGGGCTCCATACTGGGGCCGCATACTCCAGGATTGGTCTTACATATGTGGTATACAAGGTTCTGAAGGATTCCTTGCACAGGTTTCTGAAGGCTGTTCTGATGTTAGCCAGCCTCGCATATGCCGCAGGTGTTATTCTTTTGATGTGGGCTTCAGGAGACAGGTTTGGTGTGATATTAACTCCTAGATCTTTCTCTCTGTCAGTTTCGTGAAGGACTTCTTCTCCCATTCGGTATCTAGTGACTGGCCTCCTAGTTCCTCCTCCTAGCTTCATTACCTTACATTTACTTGGGTTGAACTTTAGTAGCCATTTGTCGGACCATTCCTTCAGTTTGTCTAGGTAATCTTGTAGCCTCATACTATCCTCATAATTTTTGCATCATCAACAAACATTGAGATTGACGATTCAATTCATTCTGGGAGATCATTTACGTATATCAGAAACAGTATTGGTCCAAGGAATGATCCGTGGGACTCCACTGGTGACTCCCCGCCACTCCGAGACCTCACCTCTCACGGTGACTCGCTGTGTCCTGTTGCTTAGGCACTTCCTTATACAGTGGAGTACCTTCCCTTTCACTCCTGCCTGCATCTCCAGTTTGTGCACTAGTCTCTTATGTGGTACTGTGTCAAAAGCTTTCTGGCAGTCTAGAAAAATGCAGTCTGCCCAGCCCTCTCTCTCTTACCTGATTTTTGTTGCCTGGTCATAGAACTCAATTAATCCTGTTAGGCATGATTTGCCATCCCTGAACCCATGTTGATGCTGTGTTACAAAGTTTCTTTGCTCCAGATGTTCCACTAGCTTTTTTTGCACAATCTTCTCTGTCATCTTGCATGGAATGCAGGTTAGGGACACTGGCCTGTAGTTCAGTGCCTCCTGCCTATCACCCTTCTTGTATATTGGGACTACATTGGCAGTCTTCCAAATTTTTGGCAGTTCACCTGTTAACAATGATTTGTTGTACACCATGGAGAGTGGTATGCACAGAGCTTCTGCTCCTTCCTTTAGAATCCATGGTGAGATTCCATCCGGGACTATAGCCTTTGTCACGTCCAAATCTAGCAGATACTTCCTCACCTCCCCACTGGTAATCACAAACTCCTCTAGTGGTGTCTGGTTTGATATTCCCTCTCTTATTTCTGGGACTTGTCCTTCCTCTGAGGTGAAAACCTCCTGGAATTTCTTATTGAGTTCCTCGCACACTTCCTTGTTGTTTGTTGTTAATCTTTCTGCCCCTATCCTCAGTTTCATTACCTGTTCCTTCACTGTTGTTTTCCTCCTGATTTGGCTATGCAGCAGTTTGGGTTGAGTTTTTGCCTTGCTCGTTGTGTCATTTTCAAATTGCCTCTCTACCTCTCTTCTCACCCTGACGTATTCATTCCTGGCGCTCCGGTATCTTTCTCTACTCTCTAATGTTTTATTGTTTCTATAGTTTCTCCAAGCCCTTTCATTTAGTTGCTTTGCTAGCTTACAACTTTGATTAAACCATGGGTTTCTTATCTGCATTTCCTTTTTTTCCTTTTGGACTGAGACGAACTTGTCTACCGCCTTACACTTCCGTGTGATGTAGTCCATCATGTCTTGAACCGTCTTTCCTCTGAGCTCTGTTTCCTAAGGTATTTCAGTTAGGAATTTTCTCATCTTCACATAGTCTCCCTTCCGGAATGCCGGCCTCTTGCTTTCTGGTCCCTTCCTTGAGTAATATCTTGGACCAGATATTCAAACAACAGTACACTGTGATCACTCACTGTGATACCCACGGGGGCTTCAAGACCGATTTCCCTTATGTCTGAATCGTTCAGAGTGAATACTAGGTCGAGTCTTGCTGGTTCATCATTGCCTCTCATTCTCGTGGGACCCTTGACATGCTGAATTAAAAAGTTTCTAGTCGTCACCTCTAGCAGTTTCGCTCTCCATGTTTCCTCACCTCCATGTGGTTCCTCGTTTTCCCAGTCTATCCTTCCATGATTAAAGTCCCCATTATGAGCAGATGAGATCGATTTCAACAGACGTGTGTGTATGTGCTTGTGTGTGAGTGTGTGTGTGTGTGTGTGTGTGTGTGTGTGTGTGTGTGTGTGTGTGTGTGTGTGTGTGTGTGTGTGTGTGTGTGTGTGTGTGTACTCACCTAGTTGTACTCACCTAGTTGTGTCTGCAGGATCGAGCATTGACTCTTGGATCCCGCCTTTCGAGCATCGATTGTTTACAGCAATGACTCCTGTCCCATTTCCCTATCATACCTGGTTTTAAAATTATGAATAGTATTTGCTTCCACAACCTGTTCCTGAAGTGCATTCCATTTCCCTACTACTCTCACGCTAAAAGAAAACTTCCTAACATCTCTGTGACTCATCTGAGTTTCAAGCTTCCATCCATGTCCTCTCGTTCTGTTACTATTCCGTGTGAACATTTCGTCTATGTCCACTCTGTCAATCCCTCTGAGTATCTTATACGTTCCTATCATGTCCCCCCTCTCCCTTCTTTTTTCTAGTGTCGTAAGGCACAGTTCCCTCAGGCGCTCCTCATACCCCATCCCTCGTAGCTCTGGGACGAGTCTCGTTGCAAACCTCTGAACCATTTCCAGTTTCATTATATGCTTCTTCAGATGGGGACTCCATGATGAGGCGGCATACTCTAAGACTGGCCTTACATAGGCAGTGTAAAGCGCCCTAAATGCCTCCTTACTTAGGTTTCTGAATGATGTTCTAACTTTTGCCAGTGTAGAGTACGCTGCTGTCGTTATCCTATTAATATGTGCCTCAGGAGATAGATTAGGTGTTACGTCCACCCCCAGGTCTCTTTCACGCGTCGTTACAGGTAAGCTGTTTCCCTTCATTGTGTACTGTCCCTTTAGTCTCCTATCTCCTAGTCCCATTTCCATAACTTTACATTTGCTCGTGTTGAATTCTAGTAGCCATTTCTCTGACCATCTCTGCAATCTGTTCAGGTCCTCTTGGAGGATCCTGCAATCCTCATCTGTCACAACTCTTCTCATCAACTTTGCGTCATCCGCAAACATCGACATGTAGGACTCTACGCCTGTAAACATGTCGTTATCATATACAAGAAATAGAATTGGTCCCAGCACCGATCCTTGTGGTACTCCACTTGTTACTGTTCGCCAGTCCGACTTCTCGCCCCTTACCGTAACTCTTTGGCTCCTTCCTGTTAGGTAGTTCCTTATCCATGCTAGGACCTTTCCCCCCACCCCCGCCTGCCTCTCGAGCTGTGTGTGTGTGTGTGTACTCACCTAATTGTACTCACCTAATTGTGCTTGCGGGGGTTGAGCTCTGGCTCTTTGGTCCCGCCTCTCAACCGTCAATCAACAGGTGTACAGGTTCCTGAGCCTATTGGGCTCTATCATATCTACACTTGAAACTGTGTATGGAGTCAGCCTCCACCACATCACCCCCTAATGCATTCCATTTCTCAACCACTCTGACACTAAAAAAATTCTTTCTAATATCTCTGTGGCTCATTTGGGCACTCAGTTTCCACCTGTGTCCCCTAGTGCGTGTGCCCCTTGTTTATAAAAGGGAATTGTGTGTGTGTGTGGTGTGTGTGTGTGTGTGTGTGTGTGTGTGTGTGTGTGTGTGTGTGTGTGTGTGTGTGTGTGTGTGTGTGTGTGTGTGTGTGTGTGTGTGTGTGTGTGTGTGTGTGTGTGTGTGTGTGTGTGTGTGTGTGTGTGTGTGTGCGTGTGTGTGTGTGAACACAGGGGGATGTGAATCGCAGCTCAACACCTCACATCTACCGGTCTGGCATCCACACCTGCCCAACACTACAACACCTACAACCACTGCCTTTTTGAACGAACATAAAGTAGCAATTTACTAATACATATTACCACACTACCCACTATGTCCCAGTACCTGTCTAGTATACCTGTCTAGTACCTGTCTAGACTCACCCCTAGACGGTTGCCAGTAGTGGAAACTCAGGCTGCACGCTCCTCCCACAAAGGGACGAACCGGCCAATAGCCAGCAGCCATAGACTGGTTCTACCGTAACGACGCACTAATGAAGCTCTGACTCTTGGGGTAGACCGGTTCTCCACCCCCGTAATAACATAAAACAATTACACAATAGTCGGTATCTTGTGCTCGACCTTCGAGATCCTGGATAAAGGAAGATATAGGACCCCATACCGGTCTTTGTCTACAATCGTGCACGGCCAGGTATGGGCAGTCGTGCACGGCCTGGTGTGGGCAGTCGTGCACGGCCTGGTGTGGGCAGTCGTGCACGGCCTGGTGTGGGCAGTCGTGCACGGCCTGGTGTGGGCAGTCGTGCACGGCCAGGTATGGGCAGTCGTGCACGGCCTGGTGTGGGCAGGCGTGCACGGCCTGGTGTGGGCAGTCGTGCACGGCCTGGTGTGGGCAGGCGTGCACGGCCTGGTGTGGGCAGGCGTGCACGGCCTGGTGTGGGCAGGCGTGCACGGCCTGGTGTGGGCAGGCGTGCACGGCCTGGTGTGGGCAGTCGTGCACGGCCTGGTGTGGGCAGTCGTGCACGGCCTGGTGTGGGCAGTCGTGCACGGCCTGGTGTGGGCAGTCGTGCACGGCCTGGTGTGGGCAGTCGTGCACGGCCAGGTCTGGGCAGTCGTGCACGGCCTGGTGTGGGCAGTCGTGCACGGCCTGGTGTGGGCAGTCGTGCACGGCCTGGTGTGGGCAGTCGTGCACGGCCTGGTGTGGGCAGTCGTGCACGGCCTGGTGTGGGCAGTCGTGCACGGCCAGGTATGGGCAGTCGTGCACGGCCTGGTGTGGGCAGTCGTGCACGGCCTGGTGTGGGCAGTCGTGCACGGCCTGGTGTGGGCAGTCGTGCACGGCCTGGTGTGGGCAGTCGTGCACGGCCTGGTGTGGGCAGTCGTGCACGGCCAGGTATGGGCAGTCGTGCACGGCCTGGTGTGTGCAGTCGTGCACGGCCTAGTGTGGGCAGTCGTGCACGGCCTGGTGTGGGCAGTCGTGCACGGCCTGGTGTGGGCAGTCGTGCACGGCCAGGTATGGGCAGTCGTGCACGGCCTGGTGTGGGCAGTCGTGCACGGCCTGGTGTGGGCAGTCGTGCACGGCCTGGTGTGGGCAGTCGTGCACGGCCTGGTGTGGGCAGTCGTGCACGGCCTGGTGTGGGCAGTCGTGCACGGCCAGGTATGGGCAGTCGTGCACGGCCTGGTGTGGGCAGTCGTGCACGGCCTGGTGTGGGCAGTCGTGCACGGCCTGGTGTGGGCAGTCGTGCACGGCCAGGTATGGGCAGTCGTGCACGGCCTGGTGTGGGCAGTCGTGCACGGCCTGGTGTGGGCAGTCGTGCACGGCCTGGTGTGGGCAGTCGTGCACGGCCTGGTGTGGGCAGTCGTGCACGGCCAGGTATGGGCAGTCGTGCACGGCCTGGTGTGTGCAGTCGTGCACGGCCTAGTGTGGGCAGTCGTGCACGGCCTGGTGTGGGCAGTCGTGCACGGCCTGGTGTGGGCAGTCGTGCACGGCCAGGTATGGGCAGTCGTGCACGGCCTGGTGTGTGCAGTCGTGCACGGCCTGGTGTGGGCAGTCGTGCACGGCCTAGTGTGGGCAGTCGTGCACGGCCTGGTGTGGGCAGTCGTGCACGGCCTGGTGTGGGCAGTCGTGCACGGCCTGGTGTGGGCAGGCGTGCACGGCCTGGTGTGGGCAGTCGTGCACGGCCTGGTGTGGGCAGGCGTGCACGGCCTGGTGTGGGCAGGCGCGCCAGGACTGTGGGGTCTCCCTTGTCTTGCCCTGCGACTATAAACACACACGTGTAGGCAACGTGTCCTCAGGGAGTAATAAGCTCACGAGAATGTATTGAGAACGTCTACATAATTAGTGCTATTATGTATTCTCTATATCCATGACAAGATTAGGTTTAAGGTACATTAAAGTAAGGTTTGATTAGGTTAAGTTTAATTATGTTTGCATAATTAGGTTAATATGGTGTATTATTGTCAGTAATGTGAAATATAGCATTTAAAAACTATTTCAGTATACCCAAGAATTTCGTTTATAGAAAACCTAATTCTTCAAAGAAAACATTTTCAGCATCTAGGTTTAATATTTTAAACCAACGATTTATAATACAGTAAAGTTATAGCTTGAGAATAATCTCTGTTTAAGACAAAGGTTCACTTCCTAGTTAACGTTTAGACTATTACTGGAACCGTAATATGATTTAGACTATCACATATATCTAGATAACTATCAAGGTGGTTTAAGTTTGAGGGGGGGGGGGGGGTTGAGGTTTCTCATGGTAATGGATTTGGTGTGAGGACGGACTCCTTGTAGGAGAACACCGGCTCTATCACCTCACACCCACGAACATGTCTTCCCTCCCCTTGGTATAGTGTTCAGTATCAGTATATACAGAAACTTGCCTACTTAGCAAACATCAACGGAGATGCGTGTAAACTTGCCTAGCTCAGCAAACATCAACAGAGATGCGTGTAAACTTGCCTAGCTCAGCAAACATCAACGGAGATGCGTGTAAACTTGCCTAGCTCAGCAAACATCAACGGAGATGCGTGTAAACTTGCCTAGCTCAGCAAACATCAACGGAGATGCGTGTAAACTTGCCTAGCTCAGCAAACATCAACGGAGATGCGTGTAAACTTGCCTAGCTCAGCAAACATCAACGGAGATGCGTGTAAACTTGCCTAGCTCAGCAAACATCAACGGAGATGCGTGTAAACTTGCCTAGCTCAGCAAACATCAACGGAGATGCGTGTAAACTTGCCTAGCTCAGCAAACATCAACGGAGATGCGTGTAAACTTGCCTAACTCAGCAAACATCAACGGAGATGCGTGTAAACTTGCCTAGCTCAGCAAACATCAACGGAGATGCGTGTAAACTTGCCTAGCTCAGCAAACATCAACGGAGATGCGTGTAAACTTGCCTAGCTCAGCAAACATCAACGGAGATGCGTGTAAACTTGCCTAGCTCAGCAAACATCAACGGAGATGCGTGTAAACTTGCCTAGCTCAGCAAACATCAACGGAGATGCGTGTAAACTTGCCTAGCTCAGCAAACATCAACGGAGATGCGTGTAAACTTGCGTGGACATAAAAATAAGTTAATTAATATAAATATATCTGGGAATGATAAAGTTAGCATAAACATGTAGCTTTATAAGGAAAGCAATTTGCTTTAAAATTCAAATATGATTTAGATAGTCTGCGGTTATACTTCAGAGCGTAATTACTCCTGACTTCAGCAACGTTACGGAAACCAGAGTCAGAAAAGTAATAGTTTGTGACTTTCTTTACAACTTGTAATTATTAACAACAATTGTGAAGCAATTCATAGGAAATAAAGACACCCATTCACAATCACAATAATCATAGCCTTTGCAGCCAAACCACAATTATCAGTTATGAACACTTTATGAATAATAGCTCTTTACTCCACACAGAAATGTTAATATATCACAAGTAAGCATAAGACAACCCTCAGCGTTTCGGAGAGCTGCCCCCCCTCGTCTTATCCCTGGTAGTTCACGGCTACTCATGTACGCGGATGTACGCACTGGGAGTACTTACGCCAACAATAGATTCATCATATATAAATGTCAATTTTGTACATGAGAATTATTCCCACAAAATGTTCTGAGACATAGAACCGTAAGCGCAGCCTCGCGTACGTCCATGGGTCCTCTCAAGTTAGTTTTTCTTGCATGTAGCTTGTCCACTTGTCCAGCATCAGTACGCTGTTACTTTTCCGACGCTTCTCTTAACAGTTCTGGTAATTACTAACTCCTTCTCCCTGATGATATGTTAGAATCTGCCTCAGGTGGCAGTTGTTCTGGGGTTGTCACGCATCAACTGCCCTCGCTGACGTCTCGTCGACCTGGCCAATTGATGTGGTTCAAGACCAGCGATCTCTATACGAGGAATCCGTGGAAGAGCCCCAGGCCTGGCTGCCACACACCAGCGGAATCCCGTCTCTGGAGACACGATCTTGGTGGCTGCATCCACAAGTACCTCTTGTCTCGCTAGTCACCTTCTGGTGTCCTCCTGGGTCAGGTCAAGACCCTGTGCTCCCACTTCACAATAACTATTGTACCAAAACTTAGAAAAATTTTAAAGTCAATTACATGAAAATTTAACGTTACAGAACCGGTCTCTTTAATTCAAATAAATTAGTAATATTCCCTGTTTTCTTTCTTCGTTATCCATATACTATTAGTCGTCAGATTAAGTTACTTTGTATCACAACTATTGTATGATTATTGGCCTTGTGCCGTCGCTATCACTTTATCTCCTGTTTACTTCAAACAGAGAGGATAGTGGGAGAATGTATAATACCGTATTACGGAAAAGAATATAGAAACACAGATAAAATCGTTTAGAGAATAACGTTTTAGAATTACCTATACTGAATATGATTGCAGGCATTTCAACAAATCATGTCTGTATGTTATCAGTGTAAACTTGTAAAATTAACTAGGCTATTTGATCATTACAATTCTTTGATAACAAGCACCTATCTGAAATCTAGATGCTGTTTGAAGCACTTTCATAGATGGCTCCTATTCATAATATAGCCTGCCAGATCTATTCATAATACTGTCTGGCAGACCCATTCATAACACTGGCAGACACATTCATAACACTGGCAGACCCATTCATAACACTGGCAGACACATTCATAACACTGGCAGACACATTCATAACACTGGCAGACACATTCATAACACTGGCAGACACATTCATAACACTGGCAGACACATTCATAACACTGGCAGACACATTCATAACACTGGCAGACACATTCATAACACTGGCAGACACATTCATAACACTGGCAGACACATTCATAACACTGGCAGACACATTCATAACACTGGCAGACCCATTCATAACACTGGCAGACCCATTCATAACACTGGCAGACACATTCATAACACTGGCAGACACATTCATAACACTGACCGACACATTCATAACACTGGCAGACACATTCATAACACTGACAGACACATTCATAACACTGACAGACACAGTCATAACACTGACAGACACATTCATAACACTGACAGACACAGTTATAACACTGACAGACACATTCATAACACTGACAGACACATTCATAACACTGACCGACACATTCATTATACTGTAGGTGATGGGAAAGAGTGGTGGTGGAGTTGGGTGGTGGTGATGGGGAGGGGTGGTGGTGATGGGGAGGGGTGGTGGTGATGGGGAGGGGTGGTCAGAAAACGGACACTATTAACCAACTTTCAATAACTCAAAGAAAACGAGAGCTAGTGGAATTTCCCTGGAAGAAAACGGGGATATTATTGCCATATGTCACCATTAAATTCACCAACTATATTAATGGGAATTCCTTTTACAACCACAGTCTCTGGACTGTAAACATCATAAAAAATTTCCCTTTAACTTACTCAATTATCACTACTAAAATAGAGTAAATGTGGGCCCTCTTTCCACTTGATAAAACGCATCTGGTGAACAGCCGGATGCATCAGTAGGAGGCCGGAAGTCGTAATTATTAATTTAACATAACAAGTCTCGCACGGAGCTGAACGAGTTCCACAATTATAACCTTTGGACGTAGTGTTATGGGATGTAAAGTGCTCCCATTATCAACACATTCATCGTCTACAAAGAAGGAAATTGTCCTGATTCCAAACCCGGTTATCTATTCACTCCTCGCCAGTAATGTAGGAGATTAGCGTAAACCGGGTAGGCTGCTAGTGAGTGAACAAAACAAACAAGATAAATATTGGATGTTATCTCATAAATAACTATATTTCCCTGATATAACTGTTATATTTAGGATTACTTCTATTATTGTGAGTGTCCTTTGGCAGGTATAACTGAAGACAAAGAATTAATAACAATTATCTAGTAAACCAGGACATGTGTTGAAGCCAGCCTCGCCTACGAGGAGTTAACGACTGGCGTGTCTCATGCGTGTTCATACCTGGTTGTCTAGGCCAGAATCAACTATTCAGATAAACTGTTTTAAATTTAATTACCAACATATGTAGTCTTATACTGTAATGAATGTCTACTAATCATATATTTCGGTTGATAGATCATATGTATGAAAACATTAAACAATGGGTGGTGGTAGTGGTGAAGGAGAGGGGTGTGATGGGGAGGGGTTGTCGTTGAGGAGAGGGGTGGTGGTGATGGGGAGGTGTGATGGTGAAGGAGAGGGGTGGTGATGATGGGGAGGGGTGGTGGTGATGGGGAGGTTTGATGGTGATGGGAAGGGGTGGTGGTGATGGGGAGGAGTGGTGGACATGGGGAGAGGTGGTGGTAATGGGGAGGGTTGATGGTGATAGGGAGGGGTGGTGGTGATGGGGAGGGGGTGGTGGACATGGGGAGGGTAGTGGTGATGGGGAGGGGTGGTGGTGATGGGGAGGGTTGGTGGTGATGGGGACGGGTGATGGTGATAGGGAGGGGTTGTGGTGATGAGGAGGGTTGGTGGTGGTGGGGAGGGGTGGTGGTGGTGGGGAGGGGTGCTGGTGATGGGGAGTGGTGGTGGTGATGGGGAGTGGTGGTGGTGATGGGGAGGGGTGCTGGTGATGGGAAGAGGGGTGGTGGTGATGGGGAGGGGTGGTGGTGATGGAGAGGGATGGTGGTGATGGGGAGGGGTGGTAGTGATGAGGAGGGGTGATGGTGATGGGAAGAGGGGTGGTGGTGATGGGGAGGGGTGGTGCTGATGGAGAGGGATGGTGGTGATGGGGAGGGGTGGTAGTGATGAGGAGGGGTGATGGTGATGGGGAGGGGTGGTGGTGATGGGGAGGGGTGGTGGTGATGGGGAGTGGTGATGGTGATGGGGAGGGGTAGTGGTGATGGGGAGGGTTGGTGGTGATGGTGATGGGGAGGGGTGGTGGTAATGGGGTGGGGTGGTGGTGATGGGGACGGGTGATGGTGATGGGGAGGGGTTGTGGTGATGGGGAGGGGTTGTGGTGATGGTGATGGGGAGGGGTGGTGGTGATGAGGAGGGGTGGTGGTGATGGGGAGGGGTTGTGGTGATGGGGAGGGGTTGTGGTGATGGTGATGGGGAGGGATGGTGGTGATGGGGGGGGGGTGGTGATGGAGAGGGATGGTGGTGATGGGGAGGGGTGGTAGTGATGGGGGGGGGTGGTGGTGATGGGGAGGGATGGTGGTGATGGGGAAGGGTGGTGGTGATGGAGAGGGGGGTGGTGATGGGAAAGGGTGGTGGTGATGGGGAGGGGTAGTGGTGATGGAGAGGTGGGTGGTGGTGATGGGGAGGGGGTGCTGGTGATGGGAAGAGGGGGTGGTGGTGATGAGGATGGGTGGTGGTGGTGGGGAGGGGTGGTGGTGATGGGGGGGTGGTGGTGATGGGGAGGGATGGTGGTGATGGGGGGGGTGGTGATGGAGAGGGATGGTGGTGATGGGGAGGGGTGGTAGTGATGAGGAGGGGTGATGGTGATGAGGAGGGGTGGTAGTGATGAGGAGGGGTGATGGTGGTGGGGAGGGGTGGTGGTGATGAGGAGGGGTGGTGGTGATGGGGAGGGGATGTGGTGATGGGGAGGGGTGGTGGTGATGAGGAGGGGTGGTGGTGATGGGGAGTGGTGATGGTGATGGGGAGGGGTAGTGGTGATGGGGAGGGGTGGTGGTAATGGGGAGGGGATGTGGTGATGGGGAGGGGGTGCTGGTGATGGGAAGAGGGGGTGGTGGTGATGAGGATGGGTGGTGGTGATGGGGAGGAGTGGTGGTGATGGGGATGGGTGGTGGTGATGGGGAGTGGTGGTGGTGATGGGGAGGGGTGCTGGTGATGGGAAGAGGGGTGGTGGTGATGGGGAGGGTTGGTGGTGGTGGGGAGGGGTGGTGTTGATGGGGGGGTGGTGGTGATGGGGAGGGATGGTGGTGATGGGGGGGGGTGGTGGTGATGGAGAGGGATGGTGGTGATGGGGAGGGGTGATGGTGATGGGGAGGGGTGGTAGTGATGAGGAGAGGTGATGGTGATGAGGAGGGGTGGTGGTTATGGGGAGGGGTGATGGTGGTTGGGAGGGGTGATGGTGGTGGGGAGGGTTGGTGGTGATGGGGAGTGGTGGTGGTGATGGGGAGGGGTGCTGGTGATGGGAAGAGGGGTGGTGGTGATGGGGAGGGTTGGTGGTGGTGGGAAGGGGTGGTGGTGATGGGGGGGGGTGGTGGTGATGGGGAGGGATGGTGGTGATGGGGGGGGTGGTGATGGAGAGGGATGGTGGTGATGGGGAGGGGTGGTAGTGACGAGGAGGGGTGATGGTGATGAGGAGGGGTGGTAGTGATGAGGAGGGGTGATGGTGGTGGGGAGGGGTGGTGGTTATGGGGAGGGGTGATGGTGGTTGGGAGGGGTGATGGTGGTGGGGAGGGTTGGTGGTGATGGGTCAAGACACTGGAACCTCTCCCGGCTCTGGTATATATAACCTGGGAAGCTCTGGGTTTCTCACAGTCAACCATCAGCTCTCCAGAAGTCGCTCCTTCACCTGCTGTTGCTGCTACACCCAGGGTTTACCCTCCAGTCTCTGCTACACCCAGGGTGTTAACTCTACCGTAAGTAGTTCACCCTCCAGTCTCTGCTACACTCAGGGTGTTAACTCTACCGCCACACCCTTCAAGACGTACACCCTCGCTCATAAGGTAGACAGCCACACCCTACAAGTACACTTGCTAGAGGTGTTGTTGACCCATGTGGTCAACAACACCTTGAGGCTCGCTAACGAACTCTTCCTTATATGAGGTATTGAGTTCTTACACATGGAACATCATCATACTTCCCGCTGACCCAAGAGCTGCAGTTCAACCCCAACAAGCAGAGAGAGGCGAGCACTGTTAGGTGAGTACATCTAGACACAGAACACCAAGAACTCTGAGGACAAGGAACACAGAAGAGAACCATCAACCCAACTCTGTCGTTGTTGTATTGGCGGGAACTTCTTCAGTAGAGAAACATGACCATAAACACGGATCCCATAGATGCCAGAACCCAGGGGGTGAGGAACTTCCTACACCACGTGACTCTTGGTTGACAGGCGGGACCCAAGAGCTAATACACAACCCCGTTTAGGTATTAATACGGAACACAGGGAGGGTGCTGCAGCCGGGAAGGAAGCCATCTTGACCTCTGGAACACCACCAGTTCCTGGGGTAATGTCCGCGAGCTCCGCCTCCCCCTGTGTCTCCCTTCCCCCTCCCCCGCACCCGTGCTCTCCTACCTTCCACTGTTCACCTGGTGTTAGTCCCCCTGTTCACCTGGTGTTAGTCCCCCTGTTCACCTGGTGTTAGTCCACTGTTCACCTGGTGTTAGTCCACTGTTCACCTGGTGTTAGTCCCCCTGTTCACCTGGTGTTAGTCCCCCTGTTCACCTGGTGTTAGTCCCCCTGTTCACCTGGTGTTAGTCCACTGTTCACCTGGTGTTAGTCCCCCTGTTCACCTGGTGTTAGTCCCCCTGTTCACCTGGTGTTAGTCCCCCTGTTCACCTGGTGTTAGTCCCCCTGTTCACCTGGTGTTAGTCCCCCTGTTCACCTGGTGTTAGTCCCCCTGTTCACCTGGTGTTAGTCCCCCTGTTCACCTGGTGTTAGTCCCCCTGTTCACCTGGTGTTAGTCCACTGTTCACCTGGTGTTAGTCCACTGTTCACCTGGTGTTAGTCCACTGTTCACCTGGTGTTAGTCCACTGTTCACCTGGTGTTAGTCCCTCTGTTCACCTGGTGTTAGTCCCCCTGTTCACCTGGTGTTAGTCCCCCTGTTCACCTGGTGTTAGTCCCCCTGTTCACCTGGTGTTAGTCCACTGTTCACCTGGTGTTAGTCCCCCTGTTCACCTGGTGTTAGTCCCCCTGTTCACCTGGTGTTAGTCCCCCTGTTCACCTGGTGTTAGTCCCCCTGTTCACCTGGTGTTAGTCCCCCTGTTTACCTGGTGTTAGTCCCCCTGTTCACCTGGTGTTAGTCCCCCTGTTCACCTGGTGTTAGTCCCCCTGTTCACCTGGTGTTAGTCCCCCTGTTCACCTTGTGTTAGTCCCCCTGTTCACCTGGTGTTAGTCCACTGTTCACCTGGTGTTAGTCCCCCTGTTCACCTGGTGTTAGTCCCCCTGTTCACCTGGTGTTAGTCCCCCTGTTCACCTGGTGTTAGTCCCCCTGTTCACCTGGTGTTAGTCCCCCTGTTCACCTGGTGTTAGTCCCCCTGTTCACCTGGTGTTAGTCCCCCTGTTCACCTGGTGTTAGTCCCCCTGTTTACCTTGTGTTAGTCCCCCTGTTCACCTGGTGTTAGTCCACTGTTCACCTGGTGTTAGTCCCCCTGTTCACCTGGTGTTAGTCCCCCTGTTCACCTGGTGTTAGTCCCCCTGTTCACCTGGTGTTAGTCCCCCTGTTCACCTGGTGTTAGTCCCCCTGTTTACCTGGTGTTAGTCCCCCTGTTCACAGTTGCATTCTGTTTAAATCTATTGACATTCCCGTTGTGTTTGCTAATTAGAAGTTCATCTATTCCCTGTTCATTGTTATATATAGATTTTCATGTTCATTATACAGTGTTCACTTGTTCATCTGTACATCGTTCACCGGTTTACATGCACTTGGAGTTTGTGTCGTTAGTACAGTCGGGTTGGTTCTCGACTCACACTCGTGAATTCCGGGTTCAAATCGCGGGTGGGACAGAAATGATTGGGCGCATATCCTATCACCTACTGCACCTGTTCACCTAGCAGTAAGTAGGTACCCAGGAGTTAGTTTATTGTGGGGGTTACATCCTAGGGGGGGGGAGGGAGTGGTTAATCAGCTATTCAAACCTAGGGGGGACCTCGATATAAACCTAACATATATATATATATATATATATATATATATATATATATATATATATATATATATATATATATTTATGATCGATGTTCCCTTCGGGAATCTTATTTTTAAGATAAATAGGAAAACCAGGGATATACTGAACATCTTGTTTCAGAATCTTTACTTTAAAATGCATAACGTTTTCATCATCAAATCTAAAAGAAAAAACAGAAATCACAATCAAATAACTGGTAAACAAAGAACTCATACTGAATATAATTGCCTATCAAAGAAAGGAAAATGCTTAAAAAACAAAACACTTAAGCGCACTTAAAGTGATCAATACAAATAAAACTTATTAACTGTCACATATATTAAAGCTAATTTAAAAATCCATTAAACTACAAGATGAAATTTATAACTACTAAAACAAACCATTCTATTAAACTTACGTGAAGTGATCAGAAGTGAAACTTGATACCCAACACATAGATACTAAACACTATAACAAATATTTATATAATGACTACAAATCTACAAAAAATGTATGTAAAATACAAACAGAATAAACGACAATTATAAAGTACTAACCAAAATCTTATAAAAAACTCAAATATTAAATAAAATTAAATACCAAAAAATGTATTATATATCCTAAATAAAAGATTATATTAATGTACAATGTCAAGACTTGAAATAAGTAAGAAAGGGCAAAGACATGATAAACTAAACAAAATTATAATAAAATTAAACTACCAGAATGAACTATAAATCAAATTACAGGGCCTACTGTGCACTATACAGTGTACAAATGAACAGCTGAAAGGTTGCTATTTAACAGATTGTGATTGTGATTTCTGTTTTTTCTTTTAGATCTGATGATGAATACGAGAAGTATTCGAAACGTTATGCATTTTAAAGTAAAGATTCTGAAACAAGATGTTCAGTATATCCCTGGTTTTCCTATTTATCTTATATATATATGCGAACAAGCCTGAATGTGATTTCTGGGGTGTGAGTTTTCATTCTTATATATATATATATATATATATATATATATATATATATATATATATATATATATATATATATATATATATATATATATATATATATATATATATATATATATATATATATATATATATATATATATATTGGCTGCCTGTCCCCCGATACAGTTAACTGTTCAACAGCTAGTGCTCGAATGCTACATGCAGTTGCTGATATTTAATGAGCAATGTTCAACTGTTCAATATTTGCGTTCAACTGACCAATGTTCAATTTTGAACATTTCAATCTTCACTACTGGTCAGTGTTCACCTGTTCATCGAGAAAATTAAACAAAATAGTAAATTCCACATATAGAGAAATCTTTGTTCAGTGAACATTGTTTATCTGTTCAATAAGCAGTGTTCATCTCATCAATGACAGGTGTTCACTTATTTGGTAGTCATTGTTAATCTGTTCAATATCAATTGTTTGTCTGACAAAATATCGAGTTTTTAAATGTTCAAGGAGTTCAGTTAATGTTTGAATTGATAAACATGTTCACTTCCCAATGTTTTACTGTTCAGCCTTTTAAAATTATTCTGTTTAGGTTTTTAAGGCTTAATTATACCTGTTCATTGCTTAGTTTCACATTTTTCATGTTTCGTGTTCATCAGTTTTAACATTTAATATTCTCTTGTTCAATATTGTGACCATATGTTAGGTGTTCATATATTTTAATTTTCAGAATTCTGTGCTCGCAGGTTAAATTTTCACTTGTTCAGTACCGCGTTCACTTGTTCAGCTCCTTTTTTCCTGGCAAAGTTCCTTGTTCACTTCCTCAATATATAGTATGCACATGTTCAGTACCCAGTTTTCACTTGTTCAGTGCCCATTGTTACCTCGTTCAATGTTACATGTTAGCTTGCTAAGTGTTCAGTGTTCATTTGTTCAATATTTACCAATTCAATATCAGTTTTTACGTGATACAATTGTTCATCTGTTCATTTCCTAGCGCTCGCTAGTTCAGTATTCAGTCGCTGGATGGTTACTTGTTCAGTATGCAGTTATCACCTGTTCAGTGTTCAATATCCTGTGTATAGTGATCACCTGTTTAGTGTTCAATATCCTGTGTATAGTGATCACCTGTTCAGTGTTCAATAGTTACGACACGTATGCCTTGCATGTTCATTCTCGTTCAAGTGTTCAACCAAAACATAACGGCAGTAACAAGAACGAAGATAACACAAATTATGAAAACGAGTCAACAGGTTATCTTGCAGCACTAATATGATAACTTAATCAACCAAAGGTTATTTTAATAATATTATTAATATATATTACTGCATAATAATAATATTACTAAGTAATAATATTATTACTAAGTAATAATAGTAAGGAATAGTAATATGTAAGGTTGTCTTGCAACACAAAGTAAATATGTTATCTTGCAACACAAAGTAAATATGTTATCTTGCAACACAAAGTAAATATGTTATCTTGCAACACTAAGTAAATATGTTATCTTGCAACACAAAGTAAATATGTTATCTTGCAACACAAAGTAAATATGTTATCTTGCAACACAAAGTAAATATGTTATCTTGCAACACAAAGTAAATATGTTATCTTGCAACACTAAGTAAATATGTTATCTTGCAACACAAAGTAAATATGTTATCTTGCAACACAAAGTAAATATGTTATCTTGCAACACAAAGTAAATATGTTATCTTGCAACACTAAGTAAATATGTTATCTTGCAACACAAAGTAAATATGTTATCTTGCAACACAAAGTAAATATGTTATCTTGCAACACTAAGTAAATATGTTATCTTGCAACACAAAGTAAATATGTTATCTTGCAACACAAAGTAAATATGTTATCTTGCAACACAAAGTAAATATGTTATCTTGCAACACTAAGTAAATATGTTATCTTGCAACACAAAGTAAATATGTTATCTTGCAACACAAAGTAAATATGTTATCTTGCAACACTAAGTAAATATGTTATCTTGCAACACAAAGTAAATATGTTATCTTGCAACACAAAGTAAATATGTTTTCTTGCAACACTAAGTAAATATGTTATCTTGTAACACAAAGTAAATATGTTATCTTGCAACACAAAGTAAATATGTTATCTTGCAACACTAAGTAAATATGTTATCTTGCAACACAAAGTAAATATGTTATCTTGCAACACAAAGTAAATATGTTATCTTGCAACACTAAGTAAATATGTTATCTTGCAACACAAAGTAAATATGTTATCTTGCAACACTAAGTAAATATGTTATCTTGCAACACAAAGTAAATATGTTATCTTGCAGCACTAAGTAAATATGTTATCTTGCAACACAAAGTAAATATGTTATCTTGCAACATGCTGCTGTTGTTTAAGATTCAACTACTCGGACCAAAATGTCTTGTAACTCTAATATAAGTAAAGAGGTTACCTTATAACACTTAATTAACCAATATTTACAGGTGTGTTGAGTAGTAACCAGATCTTCACCATGATCATTGCTATCACCATCCTCCTTGGTGAGTATTGTCACCATATTGTCCTGCCACTAGGAGCTTAACAAGGGTAAGTATCAGAGCCCCTGTAATCGTGCACCATTTAGTAAACAGTGTTCATCTGTTGAACACTGTTAGTGAACAGTGTAAAGGTTTAGCCTTGGTGTAGTACTCTCCTAGTTGTGCTTGTCGGGGTTGAGCTTCGGTTAAACCCGAACACTTACTGGCCACTTGGACGGGGGGAGGAAGTGGGGCCCGTCCCTCAGGGTGGGGGGTGTGAGGGACAGTTAGTGAGGCGCGGGACAGCTAGTGAGGCGCGGGACAGTTAGTGAGGCGCGGGACAGTTAATGGGGCGCGGGACAGTTAGTAAGGCGCTGGACAGTTAATGGGGCGCGGGACAGTTAGTGAGGCGCGGGACAGTTAGTGAGGCGCGGGACAGCTAGTGAGGCGCGGGACAGTTAGTGAGGCGCGGGACAGTTAATGGGGCGCGGGACAGTTAGTGAGGCGCGGGACAGTTAGTGAGGCGCGGGACAGTTAGTGAGGCGCGGGACAGTTAGTGAGGCGCGGGACAGCTAGTGAGGCGCGGGACAGTTAGTGAGGCGCGGGACAGTTAATGGGGCGCGGGACAGTTAGTGAGGCGCGGGACAGTTAGTGAGGCGCGGGACAGTTAGTGAGGCGCGGGACAGTTAGTGAGGCGCGGGACAGCTAGTGAGGCGCGGGACAGTTAGTGAGGCGCGGGACAGTTAGTGAGGCGCGGGACAGCTAGTGAGGCGCGGGACAGTTAGTGAGGCGCGGGACAGTTAGTGAGGCGCGGGACAGTTAGTGAGGCGCGGGACAGTTAATGGGGCGCGGGACAGTTAGTGAGGCGCGGGACAGTTAGTGAGGCGCGGGACAGTTAGTGAGGCGCGGGACAGTTAATGGGGCGCGGGACAGTTAGTGAGGCGCGGGACAGTTAGTGAGGCGCGGGACAGTTAGTGAGGCGCGGGACAGTTAGTGAGGCGCGGGACAGTTAGTGAGGCGCGGGACAGTTAGTGAGGCGCGGGACAGTTAGTGAGGCGCGGGACAGTTAGTGAGGCGCGGGACAGTTAATGGGGCGCGGGACAGTTAGTGAGGCGCGGGACAGTTAGTGAGGCGCGGGACAGTTAGTGAGGCGCGGGACAGTTAATGGGGCGCGGGACAGTTAGTGAGGCGCTGGACAGTTAATGGGGCGCTGGACAGTTAGTGAGGCGCGGGACAGTTAGTGAGGCGCTGGACAGTTAATGGGGCGCGGGACAGTTAGTGAGGCGCGGGACAGTTAATGGGGCGCTGGACAGTTAGTGAGGCGCGGGACAGTTAGTGAGGCGCGGGACAGCTAGTGAGGCGCGGGACAGCTAGCTAGTGACAGGCTAGTGAGGCACTAGGACAGCAGCTAGTGACAGTTAGTCAGTGAGGCGCGGGACAGCTAGTGAGGCGCGGGACAGTTAATGGGGCGCGGGACAGTTAGTGAGGCGCGGGACAGTTAGTGAGGCGCGGGACAGTTAGTGAGGCGCGGGACAGTTAATGGGGCGCGGGACAGTTAGTGAGGCGCTGGACAGTTAATGGGGCGCTGGACAGTTAGTGAGGCGCGGGACAGTTAGTGAGGCGCTGGACAGTTAATGGGGCGCGGGACAGTTAGTGAGGCGCGGGACAGTTAATGGGGCGCTGGACAGTTAGTGAGGCGCGGGACAGTTAGTGAGGCGCGGGACAGCTAGTGAGGCGCGGGACAGCTAGTGAGGCGCGGGACAGCTAGTGAGGCGCGGGACAGTTAGTGAGGCGCGGGACAGTTAGTGAGGCGCGGGACAGCTAGTGAGGCGCGGGACAGCTAGTGAGGCGCGGGACAGTTAATGGGGCGCTGGACAGTTAGTGAGGCGCGGGACAGTTAGTGAGGCGCGGGACAGCTAGTGAGGCGCGGGACAGCTAGTGAGGCGCGGGACAGTTAATGGGGCGCTGGACAGTTAGTGAGGCGCGGGACAGTTAGTGAGGCGCGGGACAGCTAGTGAGGCGCTGGACAGTTAATGGGGCGCGGGACAGTTAGTGAGGCGCGGGACAGTTAGTGAGGCGCGGGACAGTTAATGGGGCGCGGGACAGTTAATGGGGCGCGGGACAGTTAGTAAGGCGCTGGACAGTTAATGGGGCGCGGGACAGTTAGTGAGGCGCGGGACAGTTAGTGAGGCGCGGGACAGCTAGTGAGGCGCGGGACAGTTAGTGAGGCGCGGGACAGTTAATGGGGCGCGGGACAGTTAGTGAGGCGCGGGACAGTTAGTGAGGCGCGGGACAGTTAGTGAGGCGCGGGACAGTTAGTGAGGCGCGGGACAGCTAGTGAGGCGCGGGACAGTTAGTGAGGCGCGGGACAGTTAATGGGGCGCGGGACAGTTAGTGAGGCGCGGGACAGTTAGTGAGGCGCGGGACAGTTAGTGAGGCGCGGGACAGTTAGTGAGGCGCGGGACAGCTAGTGAGGCGCGGGACAGTTAGTGAGGCGCGGGACAGTTAGTGAGGCGCGGGACAGCTAGTGAGGCGCGGGACAGTTAGTGAGGCGCGGGACAGTTAGTGAGGCGCGGGACAGTTAGTGAGGCGCGGGACAGTTAATGGGGCGCGGGACAGTTAGTGAGGCGCGGGACAGTTAGTGAGGCGCGGGACAGTTAGTGAGGCGCGGGACAGTTAATGGGGCGCGGGACAGTTAGTGAGGCGCGGGACAGTTAGTGAGGCGCGGGACAGTTAGTGAGGCGCGGGACAGTTAGTGAGGCGCGGGACAGTTAGTGAGGCGCGGGACAGTTAGTGAGGCGCGGGACAGCTAGTGAGGCGCGGGACAGTTAATGGGGCGCGGGACAGTTAGTGAGGCGCGGGACAGTTAGTGAGGCGCGGGACAGTTAGTGAGGCGCGGGACAGTTAATGGGGCGCGGGACAGTTAGTGAGGCGCTGGACAGTTAATGGGGCGCTGGACAGTTAGTGAGGCGCGGGACAGTTAGTGAGGCGCTGGACAGTTAATGGGGCGCGGGACAGTTAGTGAGGCGCGGGACAGTTAATGGGGCGCTGGACAGTTAGTGAGGCGCGGGACAGTTAGTGAGGCGCGGGACAGCTAGTGAGGCGCGGGACAGCTAGCTAGTGACAGGCTAGTGAGGCACTAGGACAGCAGCTAGTGACAGTTAGTCAGTGAGGCGCGGGACAGCTAGTGAGGCGCGGGACAGTTAATGGGGCGCGGGACAGTTAGTGAGGCGCGGGACAGTTAGTGAGGCGCGGGACAGTTAGTGAGGCGCGGGACAGTTAATGGGGCGCGGGACAGTTAGTGAGGCGCTGGACAGTTAATGGGGCGCTGGACAGTTAGTGAGGCGCGGGACAGTTAGTGAGGCGCTGGACAGTTAATGGGGCGCGGGACAGTTAGTGAGGCGCGGGACAGTTAATGGGGCGCTGGACAGTTAGTGAGGCGCGGGACAGTTAGTGAGGCGCGGGACAGCTAGTGAGGCGCGGGACAGCTAGTGAGGCGCGGGACAGCTAGTGAGGCGCGGGACAGTTAGTGAGGCGCGGGACAGTTAGTGAGGCGCGGGACAGCTAGTGAGGCGCGGGACAGCTAGTGAGGCGCGGGACAGTTAATGGGGCGCTGGACAGTTAGTGAGGCGCGGGACAGTTAGTGAGGCGCGGGACAGCTAGTGAGGCGCGGGACAGCTAGTGAGGCGCGGGACAGTTAATGGGGCGCTGGACAGTTAGTGAGGCGCGGGACAGTTAGTGAGGCGCGGGACAGCTAGTGAGGCGCTGGACAGTTAATGGGGCGCGGGACAGTTAGTGAGGCGCGGGACAGTTAGTGAGGCGCGGGACAGTTAGTGAGGCGCGGGACAGTTAATGGGGCGCGGGACAGTTAGTGAGGCGCTGGACAGTTAATGAGGCGCTGGACAGTTAGTGAGGCGCGGGACAGTTAGTGAGGCGCTGGACAGTTAATGGGGCGCGGGACAGTTAGTGAGGCGCGGGACAGTTAATGGGACGCTGGACAGTTAGTGAGGCGCGGGACAGTTAGTGAGGCGCGGGACAGTTAGTGAGGCGCGGGACAGCTAGTGAGGCGCGGGACAGCTAGTGAGGCGCGGGACAGCTAGTGAGGCGCGGGACAGCTAGTGAGGCGCGGGACAGTTAATGGGGCGCTGGACAGTTAGTGAGGCGCGGGACAGTTAGTGAGGCGCGGGACAGCTAGTGAGGCGCGGGACAGCTAGTGAGGCGCGGGACAGTTAGTGAGGCGCGGGACAGCTAGTGAGGCGCGGGACAGTTAGTGAGGCGCGGGACAGCTAGTGAGGCGCGGGACAGCTAGTGAGGCGCGGGACAGCTAGTGAGGCGCGGGACAGCTAGTGAGGCGCGGGACAGCTAGTGAGGCGCGGGACAGTTAATGGGGCGCTGGACAGTTAGTGAGGCGCGGGACAGTTAGTGAGGCGCGGGACAGCTAGTGAGGCGCGGGACAGCTAGTGAGGCGCGGGACAGCTAGTGAGGCGCGGGACAGCTAGTGAGGCGCGGGACAGTTAGTGAGGCGCGGGACAGCTAGTGAGGCGCGGGACAGTTAATGGGGCGCTGGACAGTTAGTGAGGCGCGGGACAGCTAGTGAGGCGCGGGACAGTTAGTGAGGCGCGGGACAGCTAGTGAGGCGCGGGACAGTTAGTGAGGCGCGGGACAGCTAGTGAGGCGCGGGACAGTTAATGGGGCGCTGGACAGTTAGCGAGGCGCGGGACAGTTAGTGAGGCGCGGGACAGCTAGTGAGGCGCGGGACAGTTAATGGGGCGCTGGACAGTTAGTGAGGCGCGGGACAGTTAGTGAGGCGCGGGACAGCTAGTGAGGCGCGGGACAGTTAATGGGGCGCTGGACAGTTAGTGAGGCGCGGGACAGTTAGTGAGGCGCGGGACAGCTAGTGAGGCGCGGGACAGCTAGTGAGGCGCGGGACAGTTAGTGAGGCGCGGGACAGCTAGTGAGGCGCGGGACAGTTAGTGAGGCGCGGGACAGCTAGTGAGGCGCGGGACAGTTAATGGGGCGCTGGACAGTTAGTGAGGCGCGGGACAGTTAGTGAGGCGCGGGACAGCTAGTGAGGCGCGGGACAGCTAGTGAGGCGCGGGACAGTTAGTGAGGCGCGGGACAGCTAGTGAGGCGCGGGACAGTTAGTGAGGCGCGGGACAGTTAGTGAGGCGCGGGACAGTTAATGGGGCGCTGGACAGTTAGTGAGGCGCGGGACAGTTAGTGAGGCGCGGGACAGCTAGTGAGGCGCGGGACAGCTAGTGAGGCGCGGGACAGTTAGTGAGGCGCGGGACAGGGTGAGGTTGAGGACAGTGGAGTAGACGGCGCCGTTGGTGATGACCGCGTGAGTGTGTGAGTAAAGCCTTAATCTGTCTTCCTCAAATTATCTATATTTATTCATTGTCTTACGTTAATATTTATTATATTTTGCCATCTCTTACTTCTTAATAATTGCTTACTTTTAGTGAGCTCATTAAATATACTTCCTGTAGTAATAGTAATAATAACAGTTATCTTATTACAAATATACAGACGATTATGATAGTTGTTAAATCAGCAGTCACGTGTGTGTATATATAATAAAGTCACTACTGGCATTTTAGTAAAGATCTTTGATTACTTGTCTGGATTAAATAGTAACTTGAAGTTAGCCTTCAAACATTAAGTGAGGAATAGTAAAATAATCTTGCTGTTAACGAAGGATCAACGAGCGAGTGTCCAGTACCACTGAAGATTAGGAGTCATTAAGGGGTAACTACCGAATATGCGACGGTACACTTTAACGAGGAGACATCGTCCCTGGAGCTCAACGAGAGGTAATATCAGTCCCTGGAGCTTATCTAGGAGAAATGTGAGGACCCGAAAAGCTTAGCGAATAGTAATTTGTGAAGACGGGCATGACATAATCCATGCACTGACTTGTGTTATTGTCTGTAGCAGCGTGTGGCGGTGCCCTGGGGAGGGCGCCCAGGCAGCTCGGTACGCCCGTCAACGAGGTACCCAACTCAATCCCAGTGGATCAAGGGGAAGGAAGTCTTCCAGTGGTGGTCAACCCCATCCCGGCAGCCAATCCTCAGCTCAGCCCCCAGGTCATACCCCAAGCCAACCCCATCCAGCTTGGGGTTCGACCCCAGACGCTACCCCAGGTGTTCCCCAGTGGTAATGCCGTCCTGGAAGATGCCCAGATCGGCCACCTGCTGAGAACAGCGCCCGCAGGATCCCAGCTGCTGAGAACGACTGCGCCTGTGGGTAGCCTCCTGTCTCGTCTTCCAGATAATGCTACCCTTATCAGGACAAATATTGTCGACACCTTCAGCTGCAGTGGACGGGTAGGTGTGTGTGTGTGTGTGTGTGTGTACTCACCTAGTTGTACTCACCTAGTTGTGTTTGCGGGGGTTGAGCTCTGGCTCTTTGGTCCCGCCTCTCAACCGTCAATCAACAGGTGTACAGATTCATGAGCCTATCGGGCTCTGTCATATCTACCCTTGAAACTGTGTATGGAGTCAGCCTCCACCACATCACTTCCTAATGCATTCCATTTGTCAACCACTCTGACACTAAAAAAAGTTCTTTCTAATATCTCTGTGGCTCATTTGGGCACTCAGTTTCCACCTGTGTCCCCTTGTGCGTGTTCCCCTTGTGTTAAATAGACTGTCTTTATCTACCCTATCAATCCCCTTTGTGCGCGTGTGTGTGTGTGTGTGTGTGTGTGTGTGTGTGTGTGTGTGTGTGTGTGTGTGTGTGTGTGTGTGTGTGTGTGTGTGTGTGTGTGTGTGTGTGTGTACTCACCTATTTGTACTCACCTATTTGTGCTTGCGGGGGTTGAGCTTTGGCTCTTTGGTCCCGCCTCTCAACTTTCAATCAACTGGTGTACAGATTCCTGAGCCTACTGGGCTCTATCATATCTACATTTAAAACTGTGTATGGAGTCAGCCTCCACCACATCACTGCCTAATGCATTCCATCCGATAACTACTCTGACACTGAAAAAGTTCCTTATAACGTCTCTGTGGCTCATGTGGGTACTCAGTTTCCACCTGTGTCCCCTTGTTCGCGTCCCACCAGTGTTGAATAGTTTATCCTTGTTTACCCGGTCGATTCCTCTGAGGATTTTGTAGGTTGTGATCATGTCTCCCCTTACTCTTCTGTCTTCCAGTGTCGTAAGGTGCATTTCCCGCAGCCTTTCCTCGTAACTCATGCCCCTTAGTTCTGGGACCAGTCTAGTGGCATACCTTTGGACTTTTTCCAGCTTCGTCTTGTGCTTGACAAGGTACGGGCTCCATGCTGGGGCCGCATACTCCAGGATTGGTCTTACATATGTGGTGTACAAGATTCTGAATGATTCCTTACACAGGTTCCTGAACGCTGTTCTGATGTTAGCCAGCCTCGCATATGCCGCAGACGTTATGTGTGTGTGTGTGTGTGTGTGTGTGTGTGTGTGTGTGTGTGTGTGTGTGTGTGTGTGTGTGTGTGTGTGTGTGTGTGTGTGTTTGAGTGTGTGTGTGTGTACTCACCTAGTTGTACTCACCTAGTTGTGTCTGCAGGATCGAGCATTGACTCTTAGATCCCGCCTTTCGAGCATCGGTTGTTTACAGCAATGACTCCTGTCCCATTTCCCTATCATACCTGGTTTTAAAATTATGAATAGTATTTGCTTCCACAACCTGTTCCTGAAGTGCATTCCATTTCCCCACTACTCTCACGCTAAAAGAAAACTTCCTAACATCTCTGTGACTCATCTGAGTTTCAAGCTTCCATCCATGTCCTCTCGTTCTGTTACTATTCCGTGTGAACATTTCGTCTATGTCCACTCTGTCAATCCCTCTGAGTATCTTATACGTTCCTATCATGTCCCCCCCTCTCCCTTCTTCTTTCTAGTGTCGTAAGGCACAGTTCCCTCAGGCGCTCCTCATACCCCATCCCTCGTAGCTCTGGGACGAGTCTCGTTGCAAATCTCTGAACCTTTTCCAGTTTCATTATATGCTTCTTCAGATGGGGACTCCATGATGAGACGGCATACTCTAAGACTGGCCTCACGTAGGCAGTGTAAAGCGTCCTAAATGTCTCCTTACTTAGGTTTCTGAATGATGTTCTAACTTTTGCCAGTGTAGAGTACGCTGCTGTCGTTATCCTATTAATATGTGCCTCAGGAGATAGATTAGGTGTTACGTCCACCCCCAGGTCTCTTTCACGCGTCGTTACAGGTAGGCTGTTCCCCTTCATTGTGTACTGTCCCTTTGGTCTCCTATCTCCTAGTCCCATTTCCATAACTTTACATTTGCTCGTGTTGAATTCTAGTAGCCATTTCTCTGACCATCTCTGCAATCTGTTCAGGTCCTCTTGGAGGATCCTGCAATCCTCATCTGTCACAACTCTTCTCATCAACTTTGCATCATCCGCAAACATCGACATGTAGGACTCTACACCTGTAAACATGTCGTTAACATATACAAGAAATAGAATTGGTCCCAGCACTGATCGTTGTGGTACTCCACTTGTTACTGTTCGCCAGTCCGACTTCTCGCCCCTTACCGTAACTCTTTGGCTCCTTCCTGTTAGGTAGTTCCTTATCCATGCTAGGACCTTTCCCCCCACCCCCGCCTGCCTCTCGAGCTTGAACAGCAGTCTCATGTGCGGTACTGTATCAAAGGCTTTTTGGCAGTCCAGAAATATGCAGTCTGCCCAACCATCTCTGTCCTGTCTTATCCTCGTTATTTTATCATAGAATTCCAGAAGGTTTGTTAGGCACGATTTCCCTGTCCAGAACCCATGTTGATGTTTGTTCACAAACCTAATGTTCTCCAGGTGTGCAACCAGTCTTAGCCTAATTATTCTTTCCAGTATTTTACAGGGGATGCTTGTCAGTGATACAGGTCTATAGTTAAGTGCTTCCTCCCTATCACCTTTCTTGAAGATCGGCACGACATTTGCCTTCTTCCAGCAACTGGGCAATTCTCCTGACATAAGTGACTCATTAAAGATCATTGCCAGAGGCACGCTGAGGGCCTGTGCTGCTTCTTTTAGTATCCACGGTGATACTTTGTCTGGTCCAACTGCTTTAGTTGCATCTAGAGTTGTCAACTGTTTCATTACCTCCTCTGCTGTCACCTCTATATCTGATAGTCTTTCATCTAGGGTAACCCCTTCCAACAATGGGAGCTGCTCAGGCTCGGTAGTGAACACTCCATGGAAACTGGCTGTGTGTGTGTGTGTGTGTGTTTACTAGTTGTGTGTTTACTAGTTGTGTTTTTACGGGGGTTGAGCTTTGCTCTTTCGGCCCGCCTCTCGACTGTCAATCAACTGTTTACTAACTACTTTTTTTTTTTTTCCCCACACCACACACACACACCCCAGGAAGCAGCCCGTGACAGCTGACTAACTCCCAGGTACCTATTTACTGCTAGGTAACAGGGGCACTTAGGGTGAAAGAAACTTTGCCCATTTGTTTCTGCCTCGTGCGGGAATCGAACCCGCGCCACAGAATTACGAGCCCTGCGCGCTATCCACCAGGCTACGAGGCCCCCTATGTGTGTGTGTGTGTGTGTGTGTGTGTATGTGTGTGTGTGTACTCACCTAGTTGTACTCACCTAGTTGTGTTTGCGGGGGTTGAGCTCTGGCTCTTTGGTCCCGCCTCTCAACCGTCAATCAACAGGTGTACAGATTCATGAGCCTATCGGGCTCTGTCATATCTACACTTGAAACTGTGTATGGAGTCAGCCTCCACCACATCACTTCCTAATGCATTCCATTTGTCAACCACTCTGACACTAAAAAAGTTCTTTCTAATATCTCTGTGGCTCATTTGGGCACTCAGTTTCCACCTGTGTCCCCTTGTGCGTGTTCCCCTTGTGTTAAATAGACTGTCTTTATCTACCCTATCAATCCCCTTCAGAATCTTGAATGTGGTGATCATGTCCCCCCTAACTCTTCTGTCTTCCAGCGAAGTGTGTGTGTGTGTGTGTGTGTGTGTGTGTGTGTGTGTGTGTGTGTGTGTGTGTGTGTGTGTGTGTGTGTGTGTGTGTGTGTGTGTGTGTGTGTGTGTGTGTGTGTGTGTGTGTGTGTGTGTGTGTGTGTGTGTGTGTGTGTGTGTGTGTGTGTGTGTGTGTGTGTGTGTGTGTGTTCTGAAATATACAGAGCAACAGTACAAATGACAATTGTGAGTTCTGATGCAATGACTATTAAGCACAGGTGTCTGCCTCAACAATAACAGACATATACAGAGGTAACTGAGGTGTCTGCCTCAACAATAACAGACATATACAGAGGTAACTGAGGTGTCTGCCTCAACAATAACAGACATATACAGATGTAACTGAGGTGTCTGCCACAACAATAACAGACATATACAGAGGTAACTGAGGTGTCTGCCTCAACAATAACAGACATATACAGATGTAACTGAGGTGTCTGCCTCAACAATAACAGACATATACAGATGTAACTGAGGTGTCTGCCTCAACAATAACAGACATATACAGATGTAACTGAGGTGTCTGCCACAACAATAACAGACATATACAGATGTAACTGAGGTGTCTGCCACAACAATAACAGACATATACAGAGGTAACTGAGGTGTCTGCCTCAACAATAACAGACATATACAGATGTAACTGAGGTGTCTGCCACAACAATAACAGACATATACAGAGGTAACTGAGGTGTCTGCCACAACAATAACAGACATATACAGAGGTAACTGAGGTGTCTGCCACAACAATAACAGACATATACAGAGGTAACTGAGGTGTCTGCCACAACAATAACAGACATATACAGAGGTAACTGAGGTGTCTGCCTCAACAATAACAGACATATACAGATGTAACTGAGGTGTCTGCCACAACAATAACAGACATATACAGATGTAACTGAGGTGTCTGCCACAACAATAACAGACATATACAGAGGTAACTGAGGTGTCTGCCTCAACAATAACAGACATATACAGAGGTAACTGAGGTGTCTGCCACAACAATAACAGACATATACAGAGGTAACTGAGGTGTCTGCCTCAACAATAACAGACATATACAGAGGTAACTGAGGTGTCTGCCACAACAATAACAGACATATACAGAGGTAACTGAGGTGTCTGCCACAACAATAACAGACATATACAGAGGTAACTGAGGTGTCTGCCACAACAATAACAGACATATACAGAGGTAACTGAGGTGTCTGCCACAACAATAACAGACATATACAGAGGTAACTGAGGTGTCTGCCACAACAATAACAGACATATACAGAGGTAACTGAGGTGTCTGCCACAACAATAACAGACATATACAGAGGTAACTGAGGTGTCTGCCACAACAATAACAGACATATACAGAGGTAACTGAGGTGTCTGCCACAACAATAACAGACATATACAGAGGTAACTGAGGTGTCTGCCACAACAATAACAGACATATACAGAGGTAACTGAGGTGTCTGCCAGACTAAGAGTACCTTCCCCTCAGGTGTACGGATACTACGCTGACCAGGACAACGACTGCCAGATCTTCCACGTGTGTCTGCCACTACAACAGCTTTACCCTGCCAACTTCACCAAAGAGACTACCTTCACTTTCAGCTTTATCTGCCCTCAATATACCATCTTTAGTCAGGTGAGAAGATGATATGTACACCCAGGTGATGTGTACACCCAGGTGATGTACACGCAGGTGATGTACACGCAGGTGATGTACACCCAGGTGATGTACACGCAGGTGATGTACACCCAGGTGATGTACACCCAGGTGATGTACACCCTGGTGACATGTACACCCAGGTGATGTACACGCAGGTGATGTACACGCAGGTGATGTACACCCAGGTGATGTACACCCAGGTGATGTACACCCAGGTGATGTGTACACGCAGGTGATGTACACCCAGGTGATGAACACCCAGGTGATGTACACCCAGGTGACATGTACACCCAGGTGATGTACACCCAGGTGATGTGTACACGCAGGTGATGTACACCCAGGTGATGAACACCCAGGTGATGTACACCCAGGTGACATGTACACCCAGGTGATGTACACGCAGGTAATGTACACCCAAGTGATGAACACCCAGGTGATGTACACCCAGGTGATGTACACCCAGGTGATGTGTACACGCAGGTGATGTACACCCAGGTGATGAACACCCAGGTGATGTACACCCAGGTGACATGTACACCCAGGTGATGTACACCCAGGTGATGTACACCCCAGGTGATGTGCACCCAGGTGATGTACACCCAGGTGATGTACACCCAGGTGATGTGTACACCCAGGTGATGTGTACACCCAGGTGATGAATACCCAGGTGATGTACACCCAGGTAATGAACACCCAGGTGATGTACACCCCAGGTGATGTACACCCAGGTGATGTACACCCAGGTGATGTACACCCAGGTGATGTACACCCCAGGTGATGTGTACACCCAGGTAATGTGTACACCCAGGTGATGTACACCCAAGTGATGAATACCCAGGTGATGTACACCCAGGTGATGAACACCCAGGCGATGTCCACCCAGGTGATGTACACCCAGGTGATGTGTACACCCAGGTGATGTACACCCAGGTGATGTGTACACCCAGGTGATGTGTACACCCAGGTGATGTACACCCAGGTGATGAATACCCAGGTGATGTACACCCAGGTGATGTACACCCAGGTGATGTACACCCAGGTGATGTACACCCAGGTGATGTGCACACCCAGGTGATGTGTACACCCAGGTGATGTACACCCAGGTGATGAATACCCAGGTGATGTACACCCAGGTGATGTACACCCAGGTGATGTACACCCAGGTGATGTACACCCAGGTGATGTGCACACCCAGGTGATGTGTACACCCAGGTGATGTACACCCAGGTGATGAATACCCAGGTGATGTACACCCAGCTAATGAACACCCAGGTGATGTACACCCCAGGTGATGTACAACCAGGTGACATGTACACCCAAGTGGTGTATACCCAGGTGATGTGTACACCTTAGGTGATGTACACCCAGGTGATGTACACCCAGGTGATGTACACCCAGGTGATGTGTACACCTAGGTGATGTACACCCAGGTGATAGGTACACCCAGGTGATGTACACCTAGGTGATGTACACCCAGGTAATGTGTATACCCAGGTGATGTACACCTAGGTGATGTACACCCAGGTGATGTACACCCAAGTGATATGTACACCCAGGTGATGTGTACACCCAGGTGATGTACACCTAGGTGATGTACACCCAGGTGATATGTACACCTAGTACATATCACCTGAGTGTAAACCCAGGTGATGTACACCCACGTGATATGTACACCTAGGTGATGCACACCTAGGTGACATGTACACCCAGGTGATGTACACCCAGGTGATGTACACCCAGGTGACATGTACACACAGGTGACATGTACACTAAGGTGATATGTACACCCAGGTGATATGTACACCCAGGTGGCATGTACACCCAGGTGGCATGTACACCCAGGTGATATGTACACCCAGGTGGCATGTACATCCAGGTGGCATGTACACCCAGGTGACAAGTACACACAAGTGACAAGTACACCCAGGTGACATGTACACTCAGGTGACATGTACACCCAGGTGGCATGTACACCCAGGTGGCATGTACACCCAGGTGATATGTACACCTAGGTGACATATACACCCAGGTGGCATGTACACCCAGGTGGCATGTACACCCAGGTGATATGTACACCCAGGTGGCATGTACACCCAGGTGGCATGTACACCCAGGTGACAAGTACACACAGGTGACAAGTACACCTAGGTGACATGTACATCCAGGTGACATGTACACCCACGAGTGTAATTATCAGAAAAAGACGTCAAGCTGAATAGACCATGTAGCAAGTACACATATAATTCAATTTAATAATTTAATTATATGTGTAAAAGAGTAGAGTATAATAAAGTAGATTACAAGAGCTAGGGCAGTAGAGTACAAGAGTCAGGACAGTAGAGTACAAGAGCCAGGACAGTAGAATACAAGAGCCAGGACAGTAGAGTACAAGAGCCAGGAAAGTAGAATGCAAGAGCCAGAATAGTAGAGTACAAGAGCCAGGACAGTAGAGTACAAGAGCCAGGACATTATAATACAAGAGCCAGGACAGTACAGTACAAGAGCCAGGACAGTAGAGTACAAGAGCCAGGAAAGTAGAATGCAAGAGCCAGAATAGTAGAGTACAAGAGCCAGGGCAATAGAGTACAAGAGCCAGGACAGTAGAATACAAGAGCCAGGAAAGTAGAATACAAGAGCCAGGACAGTACAGTACAAGAGCCAGGACAGTAGAGTACAAGAGCCAGGACAGTAGAATACAAGAGCCAGAACAGTAGAGTACAAGAGTAAGGACAGTACAGTAGAAGAGCCAAAATAGTAGAGTACAAGAGCCAGGACAGTACACTACAAGAGCCAGGACAGTAGAATACAAGAGCCAGGACAGTAGAGTACAAGAGCCAGGACAGAAGAGTACAAGAGCCAATACAGTAGAGTACAAGAGCCAGGACAGTAGAATACAACAGCCAGTACAGTAGAATACAAGAGCTAGGACAGTAGAGTACAAGAGCCAGGACAGTAGAGTACAAGAGCTAGGACAGTACAGTAGAAGAGCCAAAATAGTACACTACAAGAGCCAGAACAGTAGAGTACAAGAGCCAGGACAATAGAGTACAAGTGCCAGGACAGTAGAGTGCAAGAGCCAGAACAGTAGAGTACAAGAGTAAGGACAGTAGAATACAAGAGCCAGGACAGTAGAGTACAAGAGCCAGAACAGTAGAGTACAAGAGCCAGGACAGTACAGTAGAAGAGCCAAAATAGTAGAGTACAAGAGCCAGGACAGTACACTACAAGAGCCAGGACAGTAGAATACAAGAGCCAGGACAGTAGAGTACAAGAGCCAGGACAGTAGAGTACAAGAGCCAGAACAGTAGAGTACAAGAGCCAGAATAGTAGAATACAAGAGCCAGGACAGTAGAATACAAGAGCCAGGACAGTAGAGTACAAGAGCCAGGACAGTAGAGTACAAGAGCCAGGACAGTAGAGTACAAGAGCCAGGACAATAATGAGGCCGCATATTACACAGGACTCGCTGACCTGCGCCTGGGAGTCGGAAGCTCTGCCGTGTGAGGCCGCTGCTACTCTCTATGGCATCAACGACAGCTTCTTCAAGAAGATCAGGGACAGCGACGGCAAGGAACGCTACGCTCAGCTCGGTGAAAACTTCTCCCCGTCGTCCGCTGGCTCGGGCGCCATATTCAACATCCCCTAGTCCCTAAAGACCTCCAACAGTTGTTCGCCCTGAGATACGCAAGAGAAGGGGAACATGGGACTCTCTTCCCAGGGCATGCATGATAAGAGAAGGTCTCACAGGTCTCTCTTGGGGAATAAGGGGCATTGTGGGCATGGGTATAACTCTGTACAATGACTGTCTTCGCTAGTCCTTTCCTAACGCTCATCAACGTGTGATGATGCAGCTTTTCTGGGCATTATTGTCTTTGTATTTGTTAAGTGATCGGTTGACTATTGCACACTTGGGTACTAGTTCCGGTGTTAACCCCGGGCCTTCTGTCGGCGAGAATCAACTAGGGGTCCCCATAGTACCCTCTAGTGGTAGAAGTCTGAACCACAGGCCCACTGGCGGCGAGTAAGTCAACTAGGGCCCTAGAGTATACTCTCCAGTGGTAGAAGTCTGAACCACGGGCCCTCTGGCGGCGAGTAAGTCAACTAGGGCCCTAGAGTATACTCTCCAGTGGTAGAAGTCTGAACCACAGGCCCACTGGCGGCGAGTAAGTCAACTAGGGCCCTAGAGTATACTCTCCAGTGGTAGAAGTCTGAACCACGGGCCCTCTGGCGGTGAGGGAGTCAACTAGGACCCCACTGGTGGCCGGCAGTGAACCAGGAGACAGTGATGAATGATCTTCTCAAGAGAGAGAGGTCAAGAAGCCTGGCTCTCCTGGTTCCACTGACACATACCATTAGGGCTTACCAAGTTAGGTTAGGTGGGTTACTAATGTTTACAACTGTACCTGGATCAATTAATATATGCAATAAAGACAGCAACTTATGGATATAATTTTTCCTTCACCCTGTTTATGCTAGGATATGAGGTTGTTAGTATATTCCATATAGTTTTGTGATAAGTATTCCTTTGAAGACGAATGTGCTCATACCCCCCCCCCCCTCTGACTGTCATCTTCCTTCTTACTACTGGACATTTCCGACCTCACAACCAATTCATCACAGAGAGGACTGCATCCATCTCTCATGTGCAGCACACATTAGTTGAAACTGAATAGCTCTGTGAATTTTGGTAACAGAGTATCCAAGTAGATACTCACTGTATTGTACACAAATTCTGATGTAGTAACAAACAAAGCAGAGGAAATAAAATAAAAATTAAATGAAAAAATACCTGATATAATTGCAATAGTGGAAACTAAAATAAAATATCTAGGATGCAATTTATCTGGGGGATACCATGTAATAAGGAAAGAAAGGATGCAGAGACATGGAGGCGAGATGACACCCCTTAGAAAGCAAAAGTAGAAGTTTGAGGAACAGGAAGATTAAAGAGCAAACAGATACACAGGCTCCATTACTGGAACTCTAACAGTATATGAGAAAAGGATAGTGGTCCTTGTAATCTACATTCCTCCACCAAAAAGCAGAAGACCCAGACAGGATAATGATGACAACAACAAGTCATGTATAGATGAACTTCAGAGAGCAGCAATAGCAGCTCACATAACAAGAGCTAAACTACTAGTCATGAGGCATCTAAATCAAAGAGAGAGTGTTTGGGAATCAAGGAATCCCCGTGGTGAGGAAGAAACGTGGAGAACAAAATTAATGGAAGGTGTAGACAGAACTTTCTTAACATGACATGTGAGGGATAACACAAGAAAAATTGAAGATACATCAAAACAATTAAACCCGATCTTTTCTCAGAATGAGGAAAACCTCAGAAATTGGAACATAAAATACTACTAGGAGTCAGTGGTCATTGTGTCCTATTGTTTGATTATATGACTGGACTTAAAACTATGACCACAAGACAAGGGGTCACGAAAGAAGACCTGACAATAGAAAAGGGGACCACACGAGGATAAGATAGTATCTGATAACTGTACACTGGGTGGAAGAAGTTAGAGGAAAGACAATGCAGGAAATGATAAACCAAGTCAAATGGAGATGTCAGGAGGCTGAAGACTGTTATACCAACAATAAATGAAAATGTATGAGAGAATATAGTAACTTATGGGTTAATGTACAGTGCCAAGGAGCAATAATGAATAGCAGGAGCGAGTGAAGGAAGTACAGAGGTCAAAGGACAGATGAAAAGAGGAATAGGCCCAAAGGAGCAAGGAACCAATACATAAATATAAAAAAGAGCATCGAAAATAAATTATGATAACGATATTGCTATTAAATCAAAGAAACAGCCAAGAAAATACATAGTCATATAAAAAGGAAAATGACAGTGAACGACCAAATGACAAGACTAGGAAAAGCTAAAAATGGCATATATAGAAACTGACAAGGAAATCTGCGAGGTACTGAACACCAGTTTCCATGGAGTGTTCACAACCGAGCCTGAGCAACTCCCAATGTTAGAAGAGGAGATGACCCAAGATGAGAGACAGACAAATATTAAGGTGACAACAGAGGAAGTAAAGAAATAACAAACATCACTAGACGACACTAAAGCTGTTGGACCAGACAATGTATTACCCTGGAAGTTAAACCAGGCAGAGCAGGCCCTCAGAGTGCCTCAGGCCCTAAAAGTGCCTCAGGCCCTCAGAGTGCCTCAGGCCCTAAAAGTGCCTCAGGCCCTCAGAGTGCCTCACGGCCTCAGGCCCTAAGAGTGCCTCAGGCCCTCAGAGTGCATCAGGCCCTCAGAGTGCCTCAGGCTCTCCAAGTGTCTCAAACCCTCAGAGTGACTCAGGCCCTCAGAGTGCCTTACGGCCTAAGGCCCTAAGAGTGCCTCAAGCCCTAAGAGTGCCTCAGGCCCTAAAAGTGCCTCAAGCCCTAAGAAGTCCTCAGGCCCTCAGAGTGCCTCAGGCCCTCAGAGTGCCTCAAGCCCTCCAAGTGCCTCAAGCCCTCAGAGTACCTCTGGCAAAGATTTTCAATGAGTGTGGGGGAAAATACTCCAGCATATAATCTGATATAATAGTAATATAAATAATTTATCTAAAAATATTAGAGAAGTGGACTGTAAAACTTCTACATAATATTTAGATTATTTTCCCTGCACATCCCTTGGGGGGTAAAATCATTAAGGCTGAGACTACCTTTTGCATATAATTATTAAATCATTTGATGACAAATTTCATTTATAAATTTTAATCATATAGTTAGTACACAAACTACAAGATTATAATTAGAAACAAAGTCTGAGCTGTCAAGCAGTTCAGGTAGAATGCGTCAAACAGCTTCCCGTAACCAGTCTAATCTTGTTTGATCATGATGACTTGGCAGACATGGGATTCACTGGAAGCGGTGATCCTCCTTCATAGATAAATTAAACTCTGTGAAATTAATAGTATGCAATATCTACATGACTACAAATATTTCCACTAATACACATTGAGAGGGGTGTTGACTGACAAGGGGGAAAATACTTACTGGTGTTTTTTTTATCATCTGGCTGTTTAACGATTGGACACCCTAGCACACAAGATTATGGCCATAAAATGTTGCAATGGGTACTTAACCAAACGGATGCGGAGTCCACAATGATGGATTAAGTTGTCTGCAAAGTGTGGGACCGGATAATGCTCGGATGATCCGTATAACAGTCGATGAAAAGAACCAACTTCGGGATACACATCAAAATGGCTTCTCTCTCGCCAAGTCTCCAGGCCAGTCTTCCCAGGTGACGCGCGCGCCACCTGGATCTTTACTGAATATGAACTTGGCAAATAAGTCACGATATTTCATTCTGGTTTCCTATTTGAATTGATCATTGCTCATGTTATTTTATGTCATATTAACGCACTCCAAGTATCAACAGACGGTTTTCTGCTGCGTATATCATTGAACCTAAGTGGCATTTGATAAAAATACATATATACATGGTGAAATTCAGATCGTGACTTTTATCTAGCTTGGATCATCTGATCGCAGCTGTGGGAAAACTTTACCGATAAACGGAGATGTAATTTATAAAATTGAATTAAATCAATTTCTAATCCATATTGCCTATTAAATCAAACAAGGTTAGACTGAGTTTAATTCGGTTTATATGAGTAGTTAATTCTCATAGAAATTGGGCGGCTGATGTAAGAGCAGCATAAATGTTTGTGAGAATTTGGTTGTACTACGCTATTGGTAAGTAAATTTAATTTCCTAGTTCAATGAATTTATCTTATCATCCTAGGGGTTAGTATTTGGGAGTCGTAAATTTCCGACATAACTCCGGGGGAGAGAAAACACGGGTCGCAGTTCATGATTTAGTACTGACCTACCTGATGCTCCCCCCTCAAAGTAATAAACTCATTACATGTTAGTAAGTCAACACGTCGGTACGTTCATGACGGCTGCCCTGGCTCTGTGTGGCAGGTATGGGAGACTAGGTTATTGATCTGTCATCATGGATACAACAGTTAAATGATTTAAAGTATTATGTCATCTAAGATCACAGAGTCTCTCAGTTCTACAGCGAGTTCAGGGGTTTGTGTCGCTATGACTTGTAACTGTTAAATAACATAGACACTGAATTATCTCTTTAGACTCATGAAATCACCTGAACCTCAAACGACCTTCAATTGCATTTATGCAGAGATAAACTATTGTTTAAGCTTAAGTTTACTTGGTTGAACTGTAATCCTTGATGGACGAATGCTGGGGCTTAAGGAGTTATTTTCTTCAGGAAATTCTGGTAGGTTTAGAAATGAGGAACTTTCTTGTTCGATTAATTCCAGAGGAATTAATTTCTCAAAAGTTTTTAGGGTGATTGTGCCTCGACACTGGACCCTAACTATTTTTAAAACTCCTTAGTGATCTGGGTGTACAGCAACAATTTTGCCTATAAGCTACTCTGATCTTGGCCCATCACTGTTCACTAAAACAAGACCACCTGCTTTTAAACTGATTTTATTGTAGGGGCTTGCAGTTCCATAATGGTATTCTCTCAGAGCAGTTAAATACTCACAAATTCACACTTCATTACACCTGCCTATCACTCTGGAAAGATGTTTATAACTTTCTACCAAATTACTCCTTCCGACAAATGAGGAGTCTACCGGACCCTCATCATCTAGATATATTAGAAGATTAAGAAGGCTTCCATTTATCAGATGAAAGGAATTCAGTGGCTCTCTTTGTGAGAAATCATCGGAGAGATAGGTTGGGGTCTGTTGTTGACTCGTGCCTCTATTTCAGTGACAATGGTTTGGAGTTCAGTAAGGCAAATTTTTTGGCGATGTAGATCTAGAATCTAGACCTAGACCTAGAATCCCCATACCATGGTGCTCTGGGAGGTAACCATGGTGCTCTGGAAGTTATAAGTTTCCAGTGGCACTGTCATTGTTTTAAGACTGCACATGCCTCTGGATGATTCCATATCTACCTTAGGCAGGCTTCTCCTGCCACGAAATTGGATCTATTATCTGAAATCATCATTTTGGGGCAGGGTCGACATTCCACAAACCTTCGAAAGGCTACCTGTAGGAAGGCTTCTGCACTTACTTGAGAAGTTACTTCTAAGTGTACACCTCTGGTGATGGCACACGTAAAAAGACATATCTAGGATTTCACCAGAATCTTGTCCCGAGTGCCCATTAAGATAATTGCTCCTGTGTAATCTACCCCAGTGGCCTCAAAAGGACGAAGGTGTACAACTCGTTCTCTAGGTAATGCTGGACGTCCTGAATAAGGACACACCCGAGCGCCATACCACCAGCAGATCACACAAGATTTGATTATTGTTTTAACAGTTTGACGACCCTGGGAAGCCAAAATCTTCTCCCTTAAATCATTGAGAGTGTCTAACACTCCACCATGAAAGGTGCCATATTCATGACAATGTAGTACTATTAATTTACTAATAATGTGGTGACGAGGAAGG